ATGATGTAAACACTCGCTGTATCAATAAACGAGATGCCCGCCCCTGATGCTGTGTTCGTGTTTATTAAGAATAGTTACAAACATTTTATAATCGTTTCAGGGTGATTAGAGTATAAAGACTGATTCGAGATTTTGCGAAGTTATCCGAGCTCGGCAGCGACTCAGTCTGAGAATTCCTAATCAACAACAGTAAAGGAACAAGAAAAGGAACTTCAAAAGTTTTCAAAATTTCTGAAACGCCTTCCACAATCACATTTATCAAGAGGACACAGCAAGTGGTGGTGAAAGCCCAATACAAATTCACTAATGAATTTGGTTACACGTTTTCGTAAGGATATAGGTAGTGAGAACTCAGTAGACTGAGTGGTGTATATTTCAGGCTGTTTGCAATTGTAAATTTTCCTTGCATTGTGCACTCAGCCTATTTGAAGTTACTTGCCAGGTCTTAATTGTACTCCACTCTACACAGTTACCAATGAATTCCATCAATACTAAAATGTTATGAAAACTCCGTGAATTTCTTTTCACTCAAAATGTCATATACATACTTTCTCAGTATTGGAAAGTGTTTGAATGCTGATCGGTTTGAGTGAGTCCTGATCAGTTTGATTCGTTTTGTTGGGACACATTACAAACAGAACCACCCAACAGAAGGGTGATCAAACTGGATTTTATTCTAACACTATCTTAAAGTTCCTAGCTGCTACTAATAAGTACACTATCTTAAAGATGATTTCCAGTCCGTACTGCGCAGTCTCAGCACCCTTACGTTTATAAACATCAATCAGTCAATCAATCAATTGATTGATTGATTGATTGCTGCTAATAAGTATTAACACTATCATAAAATTCCTAGCTGCTGCTAATAAGTACAGTACACTACAGTGTATCTTAAAGTTCCTATAGCTGCTACTACACTAACTTAATTAACTTGCCTAGCTGCTGCTAATAAGTACACTATCTTAACTTTCCTAGCTGCTGCTAATAAGTACATTATCTTAGTTTCCTATAGCTCTTGATAATAACAGGGTTTGTACCCTTTCCAGAAAAAAATTTCTTTTCCAGGACTCAGATTGATTTTTCCAGTACTCTAAAATTCAAATCAACCCTTTCACTCCCAAGATCTCAGTGTTAATTCTCCTTACTGTCTGCCATACATTTCATATTCTTTACTCGCGTTTAACAGATTTCCAGAACTTTCCAGGACCAGTAGCCATTTTCCACGATTTTCCAGTCCCAGAAAATGCCACAATAAAATTCCACGACTTTCCAGGTTTTAAAGGATCCGTACGAACCCTGTATTCCGTACACTACCTTAACTTTCCTAGCTGCTGCCAATAAGTACACTATCTTAGCTT